GTGGTGGGAGGCTGCGGCCAGCACCAGGGAGAATGGGGGCTTGGCCTTGTCTTAAATTGAAGCAGTTGCCTCAGCTCAGAAAATAAAACCCCGGCAGCAGGTTGTGCATGTTGGCAGCATGGCATGTGAGAGATACAGCAGGCTGAGGTGCAGACACCTGCACCCCTGCCCCAGCAATGCCACTAGTAGCTGGGTCACCTTGGGCAAGTCACTTGATCTTTCTGAGCCTCAGCGACAAGGAGAGAGCAACAGACCCAAGAAGGCTAAATGAGGCTTCAGAAAATGCCTAGCAACTTGAATGGGCGTCCCACCACCAGGGCTCTGCTTAGGGCTAAGGGATGCTGGAGTTGGGGACACTGGGTACAGCCAGGTGGTGTGGCCTTTGAGGAGGGCTGGGTGTGGTTGCTCCAAGAGACTCCAATGGCCTGTTGTGTTCCCCCAGATCAGCTCTGTGCCCTTCCCTGGAGATTCCAGCCACCAGCAGAGCCCACCCTCTTCATGGAAAGCCCAGTGCAGTGTCCCCCTGGTGATGGCATCCGACAGTGATGTGAAGATGCTGCTAAACTTTGTGAACCTGGCGTCCAGCGACATCAAGGCAGCTCTGGACAAGTCCGCGCCCTGCCGCCGCTCCGTGGACCACCGCAAGTACCTGCAGAAGCAGCTCAAACGCTTCTCCCAGAAGTATTCCCGGCTCCCGCGGGGCCTTCCCAGCAGAGCGGCTGAGCCTCATCTGAAAAGGGGGCCCGAGGACCGGCCCGGGAGGCTGCCCCTCGATTCTGGCCCTGATTCCAGCCCCGGAGGGGGTGGGGGCTGCAAGGAGAGAGCTCTGGGGAATCCCTACAGGGAGGAATGTCTTTCTAAGGAGCAGACCCTACAAGGGCAGAATCCAGAAGCTGCTAGACCTGGCCAGGTGCCCATGAGGAAAAGACAGCTGCCCGCTTCCTTCTGGGAAGAACCGAGGCCCACCCACAGCTGCCCCATGGGGCTGGAGGGGGGACTGGGCCCAAGGGAGGGAACTCCCTATGAGGGTAAGAAAAATTGCAAGGGCTTGGAGACGTTGGGGCCTGAGACTGCCCCAGTGCCCATGTCCCCAAGAGCACTGGCTGAAAAGGAGCCACTCAAGATGCCTGGGGTCTCCCTAGTGGGCCGTGTCAATGCCTGGAGCTGCTGCCCCTTCCAGTACCATGGACAGCCTATCTACCCGGGCCCTCCGGGAGTCCTGCCTCAGAGCCCAGTCCCCAACCTGGGTGCATGGAGGAAAAGCCCGGTTTTCCCCGGGGACCTGGCCTACTTCTGCAAGGATGTGGACAGCCTGGGGCAGAAAGTGTACAGACCCGTGGTTCTGAAGCCCATCCCCACCAAGCCAGCCATGCCCCCACCCGTCTTCAATGTCTTTGGCTACCTCTAGCTGGGCTGGGAGGGCATCGACCCCCACCTCCAGCCTGTAGGAGTGTTGGGGGCCCTGAGAAACTCTCCTTGTGAGGAGGGGGCTGGGCAGTGGTGTGGCCTTTCGGGCATTCCAAATGCCCTTCTCTTTGTGTGTGTGGGAGAGGGAGAGCAGGACTGGGGCAGGGGCTTCTCAGGCAGTCACTGATTCAGCCCTTGCAGCCCTGGAGCTGTGGGGCTGGGCTCAGCTGGGCCCTCCCTAACCGGGCCAAGCCCAGCAGATGATCCCGCTGTCCCCATGCAGATCATGGGCAGTGGGACTTTGCCCCTGCTTGCCACCCACCCCAAAAGCCAGAGTTACACATCTGTCCACCTGCCACCCACTGTGGGAGCCCTTCTCACCTGCTGTTCATTTTGTTCTTTGTGAATATTAAGATTAAAAGAATAAAAGCATTTCTTTGCAGTTTCCACATCTTGGCTTTCACAAAGTTGAATGGTCCCCAGGCCTCAGGAAGTATTGGCTGTGCCCAGGCTGAGGGCTGTTTGCAGAGGTGGCTGGCTGTGGGGAACTGCCAACAGTGGCCCAAAGCTTCGAGATGTCTGGGAATGGGCGCTGGGAGCCAACAGCTCAATTCAAGGGAAGGAGGGTGGGGAAGGAGGGGAGGAGCCACCAGGGAAGGACACTCTGGCCCACATGTCAGAAGACAGAGGCTGGTTGAGGCCTGGACTCCCAGAGGGTCCAAACTGCCCAGAGAACAGGGAGGCTGGGACCCAGGTGGCTCTGTGGTGTGACGTGGGGCAGGCCCCTTCTGCTCGGGCCTCCCTACCCCACCTGCAGGATGAGATGCGACGGGCCTGTGTGTCTTCTGTTCCACCTGCAGCCTCAGAGCAGAGGCTGGGCCCAATCCTGGTAAATAGGAGTTGGGTCCCTTGTGGACAAAACAGGTGTTTGGACCAAATTGCTCCTCTCTTAAGTGTAGTCTTTGGTTCCATGTCCATGGGAACAACAACAGTAAAACACAAAGCGCAGTCTCTAGCCAATTCCGACTTCTGGGTTACCTGCTGATCACTCTCTCTGCATCCTGTCCCAGGCCTGGCACCTACCAGGTGCCCCCTCAGTGGAATGCTGAGGCCTCTGCCTGTGACATGCACAGACGGGGTACCAGGTGCAGAGAGCAGCCCTGGGGTTTGCCCTGTCAGTGCCCAACTAGCAGATCGGCTGGAGGGGTCTCTGCCTGAGCGCTGGGCTGGGTGTGCTCTGCCATTGTGGGTGTGGCTCCGTGGCCAATAGAGGCTGGCCTGCTGGGGTGCCCACAGCCCATTTCACCAAAACACAGTTCTCACCCCTAGGACCTGTTTTGGCCAGCCCTGGCAGGAGACATGATGTCGGACAAATTAATTCCCCCTGTGCCTCAGTCTCCATATCTGTGAAATGGGACTAGATCAGGGGGACTAGATCAGGGATAGCAAACCAATGCATCTACCCCTTCTGCACCCCAGGCAAGCATCCACTAGTCACAGGCTCTTTCCTTGCGGGCAGGACATGGCCTTTGAATCCCTCCTCACTAACACAGGCTCTAGGGTTAGTGGTTGCCAAGGGTTCTTCCTTCCCTGCCTCGTTTTATTCCAGGATTCCCCTGGAGTGGGGAGCCTGCTGGAGGGGCATCTCGCTCATGGGGAAGCCAGTGGGTTTCTGGTGGTTTGTCTTGGCCTTGGAAGACTTCATAGCATGGAGGCTGGTGTGAAACAGGCAGAACTGTTTTTAGTACATGGGATCAGGGATGTTCGCAGCCTGGACCTTTGACCTTGAACCACTCTGGTCTAACGAAGTGGTGAGAGCCAGGAGGAGGTGTGTCCTCCTTTGCCCTCTGTGCGTCATCATGCAGGCCCCCGGATCCATCCTGCCAAGCCTCAGCACCCTCCAAACTGTACGGCAGGGGATTAAACGCACACATTCCGACCCGGCCACCTTTCAGCTACATGATCATGGGCAAGTACTTAATGTCTCTGTGCCATAATTTCCTCATCTGAAAAATATGGTTGATAATAGACCTGCTATGTGTGTTGTCTGAGGCCGCTGTGCGTGCCCAGCACACAGGACTACATGGATGCTCGAAAGGCTGCACCAACCAAGTCACTTCTCACAGTCATCTGTGGTGTCTGTAGGTCCTGCCGATGTTTTAATAATCCTCACAGGAACAGGTGCCTGGGCCATCCAACCAACCATACTCCTCATAGGAGCTGAGCTCTGAGAAGCGTGTTTTCTTGGAGTGCTGCCTGAGCCCACCCTTGCATGCGCCCTAATCCTTAGACCAGCCTGTCCCCGCTTCTAGCCCTGCCCAGGCTCACCAGTCTCAGGGGATACCTGCTGATCCATTAATTCAGAAGTTGGGAGGTTTCACTTCAAAGCAGAAACCTTTATTAAGACATAAGCCAACAGAAGCCCATGGCACCAAGATTTCCCCGCGGAGAAACAAGTTGGGGAAAAAACGCATGCATCTAGGAAAGCTTTGGCATTGAAAAAAACAAACAAAAGACTGTAGTCACAGTAACAGCAGCAGATATTCTCCTAACCAAAAAGTCAATGGTGTTGTTTCAAAGCAAAACCAAGAGGCAGCCCAGGAGTCCCCCGTAGTCACAACCTCAAATTCCCACCACTAGGTCTAATGTGGTCCTGCTTGTGAAAAGGAATCGCTGCTGGAGTTTCAGGACTGTATTTTGTGACTCTGCGAGGCTTCCCTGAGGCTGAAAACCCTCCTAGGGGCTGGGTAAGTACGGCAGTGGGAGTTTCTGCAGAGGCAGGTGGCTGTGAAGTCTGCATGACAGGAGTGATGGTCAAAATATTTAACAAACAGCACAACTGGAGCATGACCGGTCAGAATGGAACCACTGGAGCAGACCCCAGGCCAGGCCTCAACCCGTTAGCTGCTGCGTTGTGGGCAGCTAGGGGCAGGGACCTGAGGCCGAGGCTGGGCACCGCACTAGTGGGGGAGGGCCTTGACCAGTGCTGTGACCATCTGGTATGGACGTACACACATCAATATTCTGACAACCCAAGTGTGGCACTGGCGAGTCCCAGGCTGGTTGCTGGCACCCTACAAATGGTGACCACGCCGAACGCAGGGGCAGATCACCCCAGGCCAGGCCTCAACCCGTTAGCTGCTGCGTTGTGGGCAGCTAGGGGCAGGGACCTGAGGCCGAGGCTGGGCACTGCACTAGTGGGGGAGGGCCTTGACCAGTGCTGTGACCATCTGGTATGGACGTACACACATCAATATTCTGACAACCCAAGTGTGGCACTGGTGAGTCCCAGGCTGGTTGCTGGCACCCTACAAATGGTGACCACGCCGAACGCAGGGGCAGATCCCCACCCCCACACCTGCCCCCTACCTCTTGAGCCCTTTCTCCTTCAGGGGCACCTCGCTCAGGCCAGCGCCCTGCCCTGCCCAGTGCCTGCATTTCTCAATGGGAAGAGGTTTGTGGCCGCTGCCTGTTAGGACCCTCCAGGATGTAATGTGGCCTGTGAAATGCTGTAGTTTGAGAGTTTGCCTGATACCCACGCCAGCCCACATGTACCCAGCCCACATGTACCCCAAACAACTCACAGACTAGCCCTGCCTGCCTTATCCATCGCCACCCACCACCCTTCTGATTGCTTCCAACCAGCAGTCACCTGTCGGCAGAGACATCCTCCCCTATGAACTGAGCCTTACTTGGCAACGTCCCCCTGGACCCTGGGTTGAGCCTCCCCAATGGCGGAGGATGCAGGTTCCCTTCAGGGTTTCTTCAGAACCCTGGCAGGCTCTGCCTGGTCTACAGCGAGGCAGCGTGGAACCTCGGCCAAGCACTGTTGAGCTGGAATCCTGGGGACTTGCGGTGTGTGCCCAGCCAGCCCCTTCCCCTCTCTGGGCCTGTTTCCCATCTGTACCTGAGGGAGTGGGCATGGCTGAGCCCCCTCTGACCTGCAGCTGGAAAGTGCTGTTTTGAAGATTCTTCTTCTTCATGAAGACACTGGGATTTACTGATTCTGTGGAAACCCAGTGTGTCAGGCAAGGCCACCAGGAGCCAGCACATTCCACTGGAGAGATGGGGAAACTGAGGCCCAGAGTATGAAGCCCACGGTGGAGCCCGGCCTGGAACCAGTGCTCTCCCACCCACCCCTGCTGCTTACTTTCTGAAGGCCAGATACTACCTTTGACCTTACCTCAGACTCTACCAGATCCTGGGGCTGGGTCTCATGTGGCCTCTTCACAAGACACCTGCTCTGGTGCTGCTGCAGAGCAAGCCAGACCCTGGTGGCTTTAATCGCACTTGCAGAGGGCACTGCGGAGTTACTGCAACTTCCATGGAAACAGGGCGTGCTAGGTTTCAGCTCACGGGTCCCAGGGAGGGCAAATGCTATGAGAGTGGCGAACTTCACCTCTCGGCTGCACCACCAGCAAACGGGATGACAGCCCCTGCCCGGCTCTCCCCACACGGCCACGAGGACCAAAGCAGGCAGCTCGGGGGCTGGGCCTCATGCACTCTTCAGTATGGTGGCTTTGTAAGGGTTGACCATGGCTGTCACTCCAGCACCGTGCTCACAGCAGCCAGGATTTAGATTTTCCCCCTACTATTTTAACTTTTGTAGCAAAACGGGTGAGCAGAGCGTGAAATCAGAGTGCCAGGACACGTGTGCATAAGACAATCCCAGGTGCCGGGAGACTTGCGGCCACTGAGATACTGTTTGTGGTGAAGCTCCTGTTTCCATGGTAATTGAACCAGGAGAGAAAAACCAGCTGGACCATCAGGTCTCTGCTGGTGAGTGAAGGACACACCCTCTTGGGTCTTTCAGAAGGCCAAACAAAGGTGACATGTTCAGGGCCCATGTGCCCTGTTCCCCACCTGCTGCCCACCCCCACAACTGCCAGGAGCAGCACTGAGGAGCTCAGGCCTCCGGAGAGTCCAGTGAGAGGACTTCACTGGGCAGGATGTCATGTGCGCAACATTTATTGTACTTAATGAAGCCCTCCAAGAGCCAGGGTGTCCCTCCTGTCGGCCATGCCTTTGGGGAGAAAGCTCAGAAACGGAAAGTTTCACAGAGCAAGGGTAGGGCATGGGGAATGCTCTGGAGGAGACCATCCTCGATAGGCAAAATTTTCCCTAAAAGTTCTCCAGCTGCAGAAGCCCAGGTTGGAGGCTAGGGGGTCCCTGCTGGCCCCAACTTCCCCAGACCACCTCAAGTTCTGCCCTGGCCCCTCTCCTGGCTCCAGGAATGGAGGTTCATTCCCGATGGCAGAGATCTGGGATCTCCTCGTGGGTTTGAAAACAAACAATTCTTCTCCTACTTGACACATTCCGTCC